AGTTAGCTAGCGAGTGAGGGAGTACGCTACCAAGATGAGGTGAGAGGGAGATGCGCGCAGATGCGAAAGCAATCAGGCCGGATTGCAGTTTCCTTCCTTGTGAAAGCGGTTGTGCGTGCGTGCGTGCGTGCCTGCCCTCGTGTGCGCGCGGGTGCTCTTGTAGGACAGAGCGTAAGGAAAAGAGAGCCGAGTAGAGGTGAGCGGAGCCGATTTGTCAATTGCTTACAATGTGCATCGATTTTGTTCTCTCTAAAGAAACTGGAAGTGGCTCATTCGTCGGCGTGTCTTGGCTCGTGTGGCGTGTTGTGGAAAATGATATTGGCAGACAAATACCACACAAGCACATGCACACACACACACACATACACGCGCATGTACACACGTACAAGTGATAATGTGAGCTGCTGGGAGAGACAAGCAGAGAGAGAGAGAGAGAGAGAGAGAGACAGACAAATGCAGCTATAGACAGATGACTCTAAGGTCCAACTCCTGTTTCCCGAGGGGACATGGAATGAACCTAGGGATTTGACCGGGTGCACATGCCGTCTACAAATCGGCACTTGCTTGACCCAAGAGAGACAGGGAGGGAGATGAGCGTATGACAGACAACTGAATTAGGAACGAGCTATGATCAAACGATCTCGTCTGAACAGAGGTATATTATATAGGTGGCTGTGATAATAGTAGTAGTGGTAGTAATAATAATAACCATAATATCAGTATTCTTATAATTTTTAGTTGTAAAAATAGTTTTAGTATTAGTATTATCAACTGCTTAAGTATTAGCAGTATTAGTAACTATTTTTCATCCCAGAAAAGTGTAGCTAGAAATACGACAAGATAAATTGGTTTATCACAAACAAGATTCTATGGTACACATTGATATGGAACAGAAAGTAGATTTGTCTGGGCCATTATAAGTATCAACGTACTCGTCACTGCGTTCCCGTATGAATAATGTGGATTAGAACAGTTCCCCCCTCCCACACTCCCTATACAGCTCACCATGGGAGTCAGGGAGCACGAAACCGATTGGACAACAGAAAACGAAAGGGCGGGAGGGATATCCGAGCCGGTAAGTGGTGGTGGATGAAAGCCAAATGACAAACGAACCTTTGCGTTGACGCGCGCTCGTGCGTCTGTCTGTGTGGTAGGATGGTCCCCGGTTGTTTCAATAACCAAAGCCATAAAGTCGGTGTGTCAACCCAGTGCAATCAAGGCCGGATAACTGCTGGACTCCGCCCGCGATCCGCGTTCGAGATCAGGACTTCCGGTTTGGAAGCGTCCGAAACAAAGAACACAGCCACACACACACATGTTGACTTTTCGAAGAGCATTAGAATCTCATTCTAAGGATACAGACATAAATATGCTTCGGTCGAACTTACAGTTACCACCCAGTATGTGAAAGCGGATGATTCTTTTGGTAGTACATTAATTTGGGGTCACATATGACGAGAAATAATGAGAAATTGATAGTAAGAAATATATATATATATATATATATATATATATATACAAAGCAGTTAGTAGCAGTTTCCATCCCTTCCGCACCAGGAACCATGAGTGTACACACGACCTACATGCATATGAAGCATCTGCTTCAAACTTCCGATATAGAGATACAGGAGTGCCCGATCACACCCATATTGAATAATATATAATATAATGCTCCAAGCGAAACTGGCAATCGTACGCATAAATATATAAATATATCTATTTCTTTCTTCGCTTCTTACTCTCAATCTCTGTTCGGAGAGTGCAAAAGGATTGGAAAAGCATTCCTTTCTTCACCCACCCCGCTCATACATTCATGATGCTATTTATTGCAGAATAACAACGGATGCCAAACTTAATACTCAATTTGAGCTTTCATCGATTTTTGTTTATTATAAGAATCTAGTCAGATAGTTAAATCTGAGATCACACTTCCACTGGTAACTCGAATGTGGACTGATCATATTGTATTTTGCTGTGACGTTTCTTAGTAGTAGTATTTTTTGCTTCTGCGATTTGCAGTTATTAAGTTGCCTCATTTTCAAAAAGTTAAACTATAAGATCATAGAAGGGACACGATTAAGATTTGATTACAAGGTATACATGTATCCCGCGCGTGAGGTTTTGAGTTCGATCCCAAGCTGGATCAACAAACCTGCCCTGGTTAAAACAGACATGATTCGTTCGATAATATCCGAGAGTGTTTCCCAGTCTTTCAAATCACTCTTACCAATTTTCTCTGTTTTCGACAGTACTTCTCACATTGTACACGTTGTCTGATATGTTGTTACTAGTATTATGGTATTTTACATTGATTTTGTTTGGAATTGGTAGTTACATCTTGCTCGAACATTCGTTTGCATACATTTGTCAAATAGTCATCTCGGGAACACAACGCATGCGCTATTTTTAACCGTTTAAATAATTTATTTGGAAATCATTCTGTCCATCCAGTGTCTCTCTTTTCTTTCCCGTTCATATTTACGACTGACAATACCGTGAAAGCAATTCAATATAGTCTTTCGCGCAAGCTCATTATTCTGTCTGGCAATCGTATCTGAACATTAACTGATCTTGACCCTCATAGGAAATAGATTGCGATTCGGTTCCATGGAGGGTTCCATCACCATGAAATTCCGCATCCTCGGGTTCAATGGAGAACGGCGTTGAGTTACACAAAATTGTATCGGAAATTGCCCACCACCACCACCACCACCACTCACGTACAAAGCAGAAACGTTCGCGCAAACGTCACCTTGCTTATTTACCAAATTTGATTATTTGGCTTAAATGGCCATTGGCCTGCTGCTAAAGTAAGTTTTAACCTTTTCCTTCTGAGCCGGTAGCAAGTATTGTGATTCCAATCGAGAAATATCTGGTCCGGTGGTGATTTGAATCAAGTCTAATGCTCTTGATTGGCTATCGCTCACACGGCTTCTGATTGGACGAGATGTGATCATGAACAAGGTGGCGATGAAGGCCGTCAATCGGTCTGAGGGTGCTAGAAATGAGTCAACGGCCCCACTTGACCCCAGCTATACAATGAACTAAGGTAAGGTGTAAGGGCATTTCCTTGAAAATCAGTCACGTGGTCATCTGAGTGTGAACGGAATCAGTAGGGAACGGAATAGATAAGTGAGCCTGCATGTGGGTGAACCCTAAAAACTAACTACGTCTCACGGGTTGGTTCCACCCAGTGTTCGGGTTTAGTTAACATCTGATAAGTCAACACTCGTGGCACATGTAATTTGTTGATTGTAGGCACACATAATGAGTCACAGGGAATTCGGATATGCTGGTGAATCGGTTGTGTGAGATAAGTGAGGTCGCATTGTGGTGATCCAGGCCTACGTGATGACGCCCACACCGGAGCGGTGCATTACAGTTTCTGGGCACCTGCGATCAATCAAATTTGAAAGGTGACGTCAATGCCACACATAAAGCTTCTGACTACACACCATAGGCAGATCGTGCCAGCCAATCCGTGACAGTGCAGACAGAAGCAAGATTATGCAAGCAGTATTATAATCCAATTGGTGGAGTCCTCGATAACCAATAATCTTCTTTTGAACATATTATCTAATTGTCTTCATTTCTTCCAATAAATGAATTACGGGTT